TTTTGGAGAGAGTAATAGTTAGGTCCCAACAAAATTAAATCAATAACAGTTAGATTCTAATAAAATTTTTTAAATAAATGAGTTGTAAATATTAATTTAAAATTTACAAATAAAAATTTATATTATACTTGATGAATTACATTTGATATCAAATACTTATTTTTTAAAAATTTTTATTAGAAACTTAACTATTATTAATTTAATATTTTGAGACGTAACTGTTATTCTTCCTTTATTTTTGTGATATACAGTTTGTTTTTTTATCACATGTTTTATTTATTTTTTATTTATCTATACTTTTTTTTAACCTTTGCTTCTATATTCTATTTTTTCGACGAAAATGAATATTTTTTAAAATTCATAACATCAAAAAAAATTTGAAAAACCCATATTTAGTATGTTAGTAAGTCAATAATCAATAAGTACTTGCATACCGTGTGCAAAATATATTTTAAATTAAAAAAAAACCTTACACACTTAATCACATTGTATTGAATTAAATCAAGACTTATAAATTTATATATTATTTATTTTATAATAAATGTTTATTATTAAATATCAATATTATTAATTTTTAAAATATATTTGTTTTAATTTGATTGGATAAAAATATATTAAGTGGATTAAATTGAGTAACTAAATCTTCCCATATTAAATATCAATAATAAATTAATAACTTATTATAATTGATGAGATGGGATTTTAATGGGCCTGCACCCGAAGGTTTTTGCTAAGTGCAATTGCTATCTTAATTTTTGATAGTGCAATGTTATTTTAAAAGTTTTAAAAATAATATAATATCACATTATAATAACCTTTGACCAATGTTGAGCATTATTTTGAATGTTAAAGAGTATTTTTACCCCTAAAATTTGTTTGAAAAAATAATTAGTATTCTAAACTTTTTATTTATGTAATATTTTTGAGTTATCAACTTTTAAATAAAAAATTCAACACAACTTGTTGTAACCCAAAATTATTAGAAGAAAATTTTAGGTTAAATTATATTGAATGATTTAAATAGAAATTCAAGCCAGTATATTATGCTTATGGGCAATCCAAACAAACATGTATTTAAGCCTGTGCAAGTTGAGAACTGTTCATGAGCAAAATAAGGGTAAGTCTAAACTTAAAAAAAAAAAAAAAGTCTATGAAATGTTTAGTGTAGAGTTGATTATGCATTGAAACAACATCAGCTAAGACCTTTTATCAAAATCTAGAGATATAAACTATTTTTAATAATGATATTGGGTTGTTAAATTTTTCTCTTGATTTAATCATTGATAATCCACAAACATTATGCTAATAAAAGGTTTAAGGTATCAATTGCTTTTTAAAAAAACTTTCAAGGCAAAATTACTCTTGAACTCTAGTTAGAATTTTTAACTAATAATCAATGTTGATCAAATATTAATATAGGGTGAAATAACATCTTTTTTAAACTTCTGAAATTATATTGTACCAATCAAAGGCTAAGAATATCAGTTGCACTTGGCAAAAAACTTTTAAGACAAATGTGCCCTTTAATCCAATTATAATTTGTTGTAAATAATGACTATGAGATAACTATAAGCCACATTGACAAATAATTGGAAAGTCTTTTAAAGTGAAAAATGCTAAAACGGCCTTATGATTTTTGCATTGTGTTTTGCTATCACATCACAGTTTATATGTAAATTATTATGTTATCATAATAGAGAAAAAATATAATTTCCTATTTTTTTTGGCCTGAAAATATAATTTCTTTTCAGGATATATTATTAGTAAATTTCATTAAGATGAATGATTAAAATGCGCATTTCTTTTATATTTATATTTTTGATACTATCAACAATTACTCCATCCATTACTTGTGCATTTTTAATTAAATTTTACTTCAATAAAGTAATTATTTATCTTTAAATTAATCATATTTTTTTATATTTATTTTAATTTAATAGGGGTGTTTTACTTTAAAATAAATATAAAATAATTTATTCAATCAAAATGCTTTTGAAAAAAAAATAATGATTACATTTTAAAAAATTAAAAATATTTTATATTTTTTAATGGAAGAAGTAAGTTTGTTATATATATGTGTATATATATATATATATATATAAAGTACTTGTGTAATTTAGTTCGAGACACTGTTACATAATAAAATGTGGGTATATCTTTTAATAAGATTTGAACATTTATTTACTTTATTATGAGGGACTAGCTACTTGTTGGTTCATGTTATATATCATTAAAAACATCTTATACAAATATTACACAAGAATTATAAAATTATTTAATATTTGTATTTGTATTCACTTTCTAAATGATTTTGTTTCTCACATTAATGCATAACATGACAAACTTTAAAAGTTAAATTTATTTATGCTTATCAGATACGAGAAAAATATGCATTAAAAGTGAATACGAAAAAACAAAAAAACAACATCAAAAGTATTTGATGCATGTCAAGCTGATTGAAGTGCCCCTGATTTTTTGACCGGATAGTTGACATTAATATGGAAAATACTAAGAAAATAGGCATTCTTAAATAAATGTTTATATTGTGGTTTTCAAAAAAAAAATGTCTATAAAATTTATCTGAGATAACTCCAAAAGGGAAAGCATGCATGCAAGGATTATGATTTATGAATTTTTAAAAGGAAAAATTACATATAAATCTTGTAAAGTAAGTTTATTTATAAATAAGTCTTATAAAATTTAAAAAATTTATGCTAAATCACTTGAAACTTGAGTGTAATTTGAAATTAAGATAAAAAGACAATAATAACCATATTAAATATATATAAAGTTACATTAGTCAAATAATTTATAACTATTTTATCAATAATTTATAAGTATAATTTTAAATTTTTATAACTGTAACTTTATATATATAATTATTTAATTAATTAATTTAATTATTAAATATGTGAAGTTATTGTTATAAAAGTTAAAATTATAGTTATAAATTTTGATAAATTAGTTATAAATAATTAATGCTTTAACTTTATTAGTAACATATAATTGTTTAATTATTTGATATATAAAGTTATAGCTATAAAAAATTAAAATCATAGTTATAAATTGATAATAAAATAGTTATGAATTAATTATTTGATTGATGTAATGTATGTTTAATAAGAATATTATTATCTTTATAGTTTAATTTTAAATTACACTCATATTTTAAGGGACTTGATTGTAATTTTTGAATTGTATAAAATTTATTTGTAAATAAATCTGTTCTATGAGAGTGGCACCTCTACATTATTTTCCTTTTTTCAAAACATAAATCCTATAAAATCATGCATAAGGGAAACTTTTTTTGCCTGACATGCTATAGGTAAACTTATTAATTATTAATTATTAATTACTATATATTGGTTACCTTGAAAATATTTATCTATTAACCTATTAAAGTTATGAATACTTAGGGGTTTAGGGAAAAAAATGAATATCTAGGATCCGATTGTTTAGTATTAACAAAAACAAAATGATTTTGATTAAGCTAGGTGAGGGAGTTCTTGAGAGAAGCTTAATATGAAGGGTTATTGGAAGAAAATTTATTTACAACTTATTTTAATAATTGATTTTGATTAGCTTATTAAAATAAGGTGAATTTTTTTTTTAACAACCCATCATGTTAAAACTTAAGAGTTAAAATTTCCCAACAATCAATGTAACTTTATCAAAATCACTTCTTTTTATTAAATTAAATTAAAAAAATCAGCCGTTAATATTAACTAGCAAGTGAAAAAAAAATATTTATACATGTGATAGAGAGATTTATAAAAATATAACTATTTAATATCTCGAAAAATTATATATGGATCCTTTTAGTCTAAGGTTGGATATAAGACCTATAAAGACGTGTCTCGAACATAATATTTAAAATTGAATGTTATAACTACAGTCCAAACCCAAAACTTATGAAAATTATAGAAAATCTATTATTTTTTATGGAATGAATTTTTTACTTGGTGCATAAAAATCTAAGCGAATTAGATTATAAGAGCTTACCAAAATTAAAACATATTTTTGCATTTAAAAAACATTTATAAAAATGCTTATAATTTTCATTATGGATGTGGCATTGTATTGATTAAGTCTCATTAATTTAGCATTTGCATAAATTAATTCAAAAGCACTTGTTATTTAATGTGATCAATCACGCCGTCTCAAGTAGCTCTGGAGCAAACAGTTATACACACACACACACATCCTTCCTCTTTTTTATTATAAAGCATGTTTAATTATCATAATTAATTTTATTTAAAAAAGAATAAAATAATAATTTTTTTATATTTAAATGAAAAGAATTTTAAATTTACATTACATTCTCTTTCATAATTAATAAATTTAAATGTGAATAATATGAAAAAAAATTATTCTTATATTTACCTTTACTATTTTACTTTTATTGAATGTAAAAAAATTTATTAAATGTTAAAGTATTTTATTTTAAAGTAAATATATTTAATAAAAATAATGTTAAAAATTTATAAAATTTTTAAATAGGGCTAATAAAGTTTAAATTTTTTTATTTAAAAAAGTAAAAATGACTTATGAATGAAGTTAAAAAAAAAAAAGTAACTTATATCAAGGATGATCAATCTTTTATATCAAGGAGTATCTAATAACAAGAATCAGAATGAAATTTTAGACTTGAGAACTAGAGATTAAGAACTTGAATAAAAAGTAACTTTAAACTATTCTAATATTTTTTTTTTATAAAATGAAAACATTAACTAATTTTAATCGCTTTTAAATTTAATTATATAATTATACAAATATTACCATTAAATATTGACGATACATTGAAAAATGATAAGAGGGCCTGGGCCCACGCGCTGCAAGTAAGCCTGCTGCTGCGATAACACAATGAAGTCATCACTCATCACAGAAATCCTGCCAACCGGACGGAAATTTTTTTAAAATAAATATAAATAAATAAAATTAATTTATTATTTAAAAAAGTTGAAGGAGCAGAGTTGGAGAGAGAAACCAAGCCAGTAAGAGAGAAGAGACCACTTTACCACTTTTATACGCTGCACGCATCCTTCCCCACAGAACACAAGCAACAGAGAGAGAGAGAGCTTGGGGTCCGAAGAAAGAAAGAAAGAAAACCCCATTGCAAGTTCCTTCTTCTTCTATCCATCCCTACGCTCAATCCCACCATTAATGGATTTCTTCTCATCCTCTTGCTTTTTGCCGACTCACAAGCAACTTACCCACGAACTATCCTGAGATTTCGCTCTTTGACTCTGCCATCTGCTTCAAGTGTCAGTGTTCTTCACTATCTCAGAATTTTCCTATCCTTTTCTCTGTTCAAATCCGCTTAATTTCTAAGCCCAGATCCTAGATTTGTAACCCAGACCAAACCCATTTTCAAATTACTTTGTGGTTGTGAAGAAAGATGCTTTCTTGAAAAGCTGGAGTCTCTTGTGGGGTTTGTTTTGTGGTGTGCGAATCTTTCTGGTTTGGTTTTGTTAGATGAAGGCCATGCCCTTGCCTTTTGAGGAGTTTCAAGGGAAGGGGGTGTTTGAGTTTTCTTCTTTTGCTTCTTCAGATTCGTTTCCTTTGCCTCTTCTGCATCATCAGCCACCACCGGGAAAGTGGACCGGCGGCGAGAAAATTTGCTATGTGGGCACTGAGCCCACCTCTGTTCTCGACGCCAGAAGAAGCCCAAGCCCTCCGAATTCCTCCTCAACAATGGCCTCTCGTGGAAGCAATAGCGCCGCAAGCAAGGGCGGCGGAGGTGGAGGCGGCGACGGAAGTTGCTCAACGAATAGCACAACCACCGGCGCCGCCGCGACGGCCTCTGAAAACCCATCCCAGGCGGCCTTAGACACGTCCACCGCCGAGAAATGTGCTCTGCCGGTGGAGGATTGGGAGGCTGTGTTGTCTGAATCCCCAGGTCAAGATCAGTCTATTCTGAGACTAATCATGGGCGATATTGAAGACCCATCTTCGGGATTGAACAATATCTTGCAGAGCAGTGGTGCTGGGTCTCATATGGTGGATTTCAATGGAGGTTTTGGGGTGGTAGATCAAGGGTTTGAGCTTGAACCTGTAACTTGTGGGAACATAATCAGTCATAGCACTTCAGAACCCATTTTCTCGGCTTCAGCAACCAATCCTCTGATGATGTCATCTTCTCCATTGGTGTTCAATTCTCAGGCGCAAGTAAGTTCATCGGTCGAAGACAAGTTAAACCGGAATCAAGTCCAATTCTCTGAGAATCCATCTTTCTTTATGCCACTGTCATACCCACAATTGCAAGAGCAGCAAGTTTATTCTCAGCCTCAAGCAAAACGGCTTCTTTGTGACACAATTGGGCAAGGCTATCAGGTGCCGAAGGGTGCGGTATTGGATTCGGGGCAAGAGCTATTGGCTAGGAGGCAGCAATTGCAGCTTCCTATGAACACTCAACATGTGCACCATCAATGGCAATCCTTAATTGAGCCACCATTGAAACAGCAGAAGGTGAGCTCTGCAGGGGATGATTTCGCAACTCAAGAGCTCCAGCAGACTATAATTGAAATGATTTTCAAGGCTGCGGAGCATATCGAAGCCGGTAACCCGGTAAATGCGCAAGGGATATTGGCGCGGCTCAATCACCAGCTCTCCCCTATTGGTAAGCCATTTCAGAGGGCTGCATTCTATATGAAGGAAGCCTTGCAGTTACTGCTGCATTCAAATGGGCAAAGCTTATTGGCTTTCTCGCCCATCAGTTTCATATTCAAAATTGGAGCTTATAAGTCATTCTCTGATATATCTCCAGTCATTCAGTTTGCTAATTTTACTTGTAATCAAGCGCTCATTGAGGCTGTGGAGAGTTTTGAGAGGATTCACATTATTGATTTTGATATTGGGTTTGGAGTGCAATTGGCTTCTTTCATGCAAGAGCTGGCCTTGAGGAATGGTGGTGCACCTTCCCTGAAAGTTACTGCAATTGTATCCCCATCCACCTGTGATGAATTTGAGCTCAATTTTACCCGAGACCACTTGAAACAATATGCCAAAGAAATCAACATATCCTTTGAGCTTAATGTTATGAGCATTGAATCATTAAACTCTACTTCCTGGCCCCTTCCTAGTCGATTCCCCGATTCAGAAGCAATTGCTGTGAATTTGCCTGTTTCTTGTTTCTCAAATTACCCTCCATCCTTTCCTGTGGCCCTTCGCTTTGTAAAGCAACTCATGCCAAAAATTGTGGTCACCTTGGATAGAAGCTGCGATCGAATCGATGTCCCATTCCCCCACAGTTTAATCCATGCCCTTCAATCTTACTCAGCCTTGCTTGAATCCCTGGATGCTGTGAACGTGAACCTCGATGTCCTCCAAAAGATTGAGAGGCACTTTGTCCAACCGGCCATCGAGAAGATCATACTAGGTCGCCACCAATGCAGGGGAAAGTTTGCCCCATGGAGGAGCCTACTTCTCTCATCTGGGTTCTCTCCCTTCTCATTCAGTAACTCTACAGAAGCTCAAGCCGAGTGCTTGGTGCAGAGGGCGGCTGTGAGGGGATTCCAAGTGGATAGGAAGCATTCTTCTCTTACCTTATGCTGGCAGAGGAAGGAACTCATCTCTATTTCAACTTGGAGATGCTGAGCAGTAGCTGAATCAGTAATATGCTTTCAAAGGTGCTTCATGACTTACTCATTTAGTTTATTTTTCTGAGTCCTATTGTCTGTGGTTGTTCTCAGTGCTACTAATTGTTCATGTAATTTAGGTTCTTAGTTATGCTATCAATCAACTCAACACCTCCAAATCTTTTGTTAAATGGATGGGATGGCATTGTACAGTTCCTATTATTATGTATTTTTCTAGCATTTTCCACTTTGAATCCGGGCATCATCTATGCCTTTTCCCACATCCATCTCCTGGATGGTGACTTTTTTATGTAGTCTTGACCTTAAAGCAAATTGCTTTGGAAGCAAAGAACTCTGTATGTTCTAAAAGTTGGACTATAAATCAATGGAGGCACTGATTTTATCAGTTTTTTTAATTATTATTATTAGTCTTTTCAATAGGGTTATTTTGTTGGTTCATCATTGACACCTACCTCTAATTTTCATCACACTTCCATTTTAATATAGTTTAGTTTGTGTTTGGTTTTATGTTGGAAATTATCAAATCCATGGTTTTGGTGGTAATGGAAAAACACTTTTGAGATGTATATTCTTTCTAGTTTTATTTGTAAGTTATTTTGAGCATGTTTTATCTAGATTAAGAAAAATCTTAAATCTTATTAATTCTTTTTAAAAAATCAACAAGTTTTTAACTTTACTAGCATCTAATGGGGGTAAAAGGTAATGGAAACAAATTATAAAAGTGCAGTGTTAATATATTCAAAACAAATAATCTTCCTCTATACTATAAAATTTATAGTAAAAAAGGGGGTTTTTCCATGGTGAAAATTGTGAGAGGCAATTGCATATAAATTTATATATCGGAGAGATAGAGGTGGAGGGTAATGTAATTAAGAATTTGAAGTAATCATTAAAATAGAGGTAATAATTCTGACAAGAAATGAGAACTTGTGAATCTGGACTTGTCTGTATCAATGTCTTGGTGCAATGGATTGAGTGAGAAAATGTTCAATATCACCATGAGAGCTTTTTTCTTGCCAAAAAAATGGGGGACGACTTCAATATATGTATATATGTATATATATACCATAAATATATATATATATATATATATCACCGTGAAACAATTAATTACTTATTATGTTGACTGCTCTTTGTTGGAACACAACAATCATTAGAAATTGGTGGATTTATATCATTCTGCTCTGGAAAAAAGAAATAGATAAAAAAAAAAGAAAAAAAAGAAACGGCTGCTGACATAACTCGTTTTAAAAAGTCTGAAAGCCTTGAAAGTGAAGTTTGTGAAAGGAATAGAGAGAACACAGGAAATATGTTAATCCAGTGAAAAGGGACTTTTTTTATATGCTTTATTTTCCGTCGTATCACTATTATTAGACTTTTTTTAAAATTTTTTTTCTAAGGTTCTTTTTAGTTAAACCATGGAGGTTTTTTTAACACAAATTTAACGTCAATATTATTAATTTATATTTTCCAAACCATTGAATGTTAAAAATAGTTGAAATTAATAATGTCTATTATTTTTGTAGTCAGCCATAAATATTTTATTATTAATTTTAAATATATATTTTTGGCCTATTAACTCTTATGCATGTTTTATAGCAGACCTCAAGCTCAAAATCAATACATGAATATTTTTTGCTTGAAATATTGATTTCTAATATCTGAGGACATGCTTGAGAGTATAGGATGGAACACAAGAAATAATCATTAATGAAATGAGATGTGGTAGAGTGAAGTGGAGTGGAATGGAATGGAATGGAATATTCATTGTTGGGGAGTTCTATTAAAGGAATAAATAATTTTATTTAATCATTATTTAAGAATAATTATAAAATTAATATATTTAAATTAAATATATTTTTTTTCAATTTTAAGGTAAAAGAGAGTGAAAGAATGAGTGGGGGTGAGAAGGATAAGGATAATTTTATAAGAAAATTACTTATATCATATCATTCCATTATCGATTCCTAAATTAGAGATTCAACAAAAATGAGTTTAAGATGATATGTGATGGCTTGGAAGGCCATCCCAAGTTATTCGAACTCTCTTTTAATTTTTTTTTCAAATAATAATATAAAGCTTTTAACCATCCCATCTTATCCCATTCTATCTTAAAAAAACACACTCAAACATTACCTAAATACAAAAAGAATCTTAATATATTAATATAAATATGGCCTACAGTTTTATTTATGAATTATTTTTAATATGTTTCAACAAAATAATTTTTTTAAAATTCATTGACTGCATATAAAAATTTAATAAGTATTTTAATTTTATCTATATTAAGTGTGTGTATTAATAATGTGTTTTTTATCAATACTTAATAAGGGGGTAAAAAGGAAAAATTTATCTAAAAAAATTCATCAAATTTCTCCAATGCCGCTTCGAATATTTGATTCACCAATTTGATCAATTCAAGACTAATTTGCTCAGCTTTCTCCTCGTTTTTCCATTGCATTGGACTAGATAGGAGATCAATTTCCGATTCAAGTGGTTGGTTTGGTCTAGTTATCTTAGCTTAGTAAAATAAAAATAAAAAAGATTTGTACATATATAACTTAGCAAAAAAATTGCACTGTTTATAAATTATAATGATATATAAATTTATATTTTCTATTTTTTTAATACATCGGAGAGCCAAATTTACATTTTCTATTTATATATTGCTCCCTCCATCCCAAATTATAAAATAATTTTGAGAGAGATTCAGTATCTCAAAATATACGATGCTTTGATAAAAATAATATTTTATTAATGATATTTTTTTCAAAATATCATTCACTCTTTTTATATATTATCTATCTTCGATATTTTTTTATAAATGAAGTATTAAATTAAGAGTATTTTTAAAAAATTATATTTTTATCTTAAAAAATAAAATTATAAAGTATATTTAATAAATTTTATTAGTATGTATAATTTTGCTTAAAAGTATCTTATGAATTAAAATGAAGGTCTACTTTATTTTTAAATATAAGAGAAACTATCTTATATTTCTTTGTTTTGTTATTATAAGCAGAACTACAAATTTCAAGAAAAATTAATTATATTTTTTTTCAAATTGTCTGTCATAAATGAATAGTATAACTAAATCAGAGGGAAAAGGTAAACATTAATTATAAGATAATTTGAGTCCAAACATTTCAATTTTAAATAAATTATCATGATAATTTAATTTTTTTAAACTGTGTGAGTTAATTAAAATACTCTTATATTAAAAAATAGATGAAGTATAATTTAGTATATTAATATTAATAATATTTTTTAATTTTATATCTTATTTATTTATTTATTTATTATTTTTTAAATTTTTGAAAAATAATTTATTATGCGTATTAATTGCTAAAACAATTTTAAAGATAGAAATATCATGTTTTTTTAATAAATGTGAAATTGGTTAAAAGCCTATACTAGGGCAGTAGGGCCAGAGGGAGTTGTTTGGAACTAGGCTAATTTTCGTCAGCCGTTTTTATTTACAATTTTATTTGTTTTCTAAATTTCAGCTTTCCCCTTCAAATTTTCCATATTATTTTATTATATTATTATGGTTGAATATTTTTAGGACTATATGCATCATCCCATTATATTAAGGCACGCCAACTTGCGTTTTCAAGTGATCACACGCTGAACAAAAAGTTGTCCTTCTAATTATTATAATTATCAATTATTATAATTATTTTTTAATGCTTCTGCTAATGAAATCACATGGGGTCTTCTTTATGTGGGGCCTACACACAAATTAGTTTAACCTTGGAAGCCTCTCATTTACTTGCTACTTTCACAAAGCACAATTATTAATGATAATAATCAAAATATTTAATGATTGAGGTCATGTTGCATGAGAGACACGTCTGGTTTCTCATTGTAATTGCAATTATTTTTTTCTAAAATATTTATCTGTAAAAATTATAAAATTTATAAAGAATTTTTATTATTTATGCATTATGAACCATACAACTTATCTTAGACTTTATGCAATTTATTTTAATATAAAATAATGACAAACACACCAACTCCATGGACAATAAGGCACACTCTAAATTATTTTATTATTAATTGTTAATTCATTATTCAATTAAAGAATGATACTCCTATTTGATACATTTGGCAATGTTTGTTTAAAATTTAATCATGGGCATGGAGCACCAACTTCATTACTTTCTTTAAATTTTATTTAGTGTGAGGAAACATGCTGCAGTTATAATATAAAAAGAAAAACTAAAGAATTTACATGTTATTAACATTGTTCCCTCTTTCTGTTTTTTTTTTTTTTTACTTTGTCATGGTTTTGATAACCTTGCCAGAATGGTTGAACTAGTTAAATTGTTGACTGGATTCACTATAGTTCATTTGAATCAAAAAATTATTTTTATAGTTGAGCTGAGTTAGAGAAGAGTTGAATTGCCATTGAGTTAGAAACTAGAGTTAAGTCAAGAATCAAAATGATTTTAAAAAAAATAAGACGGATAAATACCTAATATTCTAGTCATTAAAAAATATAAAGTATTTTTAATCGAATTTTACCCTCTAATAAAGTAGTTTCATACTTTCAAATTAACCCTATCTTTTTATATTTACTTCTATTAAACACCTTATAATAAATATAAAATCATTATTAATAAGGGTACTTTTGAAAAAAAAGTTAATGATTACACCTGAAAAAATAAAAAATACTTTATATTTTTTAACATCTAACTCGTCAAAAAATACCTTATATTTTTGAACAGAGAAAGTATAAAAAAGGGTTAAAATATTTTAAAATATTATCTAACTTTATTTTTGGACCCTTCATAGATATATAATATTATGTGGGACCATTTTCTTACAAATATGTTGATAGCTATAGATGCAAATACAAATATTATTGAGCCTATTCATACTTAAGTTAACCAAGATCTGTTTATGTTTGACAAATTATAATTTATATTGTTATTAATTTATAGTCATGTTAGGTTATTTTATTAACAACTAGACATATTGTAAATTTTATTATATAAGAATGACATTAAAAATAATTAATATAAAATTTTACTTTATTATATAAAATTTTATAATGACATTAAAAATTTTATTTTATTATATATAATTTTATTTTTAAAATAAAAAATATAAACTTCTAAAAATATCTTTAATTTAATATTCTATTTATGACAAAATTTTAATGAAGTAAGATAACATAATGGAAAGGGAGCTAGTTATTAGCCTTGGTTTCTCACATATGTGTGTAAATAATACTTCATTCAGTTCAAAATATAAGCATTTTTACTTAACTAATTTTAATTTAAAATATAAGTAATTTAGTACATACAAATTTTTTTTTCATTTTATCCCTTACATTTATTAATTTAGATCTTTATGTATATCTCCTATTCATTATGAAGT